TGAAAAAAATTTAAAACAAATCCGTTGGAAAATACCGCCTAAATAAAAACCATTATATGGGAGCTTTACAAAAACGTGGTCCTCCATAAGTAATTTGTGTCTTAGGCTGTAGTAACTGTTCCGAACTTTATATACGAAATTTGAAACAATTCCGGTGAATAATGTCTCAAAAATCATGAAAGTACCGAATATCTGGGGATACCGTTATATGGGCGCTATACTAAAACGTGGAACTAATTATATAATTCTCTTCGTGAGGGTTAAGTACTCAGATGGTACCCCCTGTGAAGAATTTCAGACAATTCCGTTTGAAAAATGTGGCTAAAATTATAAAAATACCGAATAACGGGAGGAGCCGTTATATGGGGGGATTTTGTGGACCTATATGACCAAATCTATGTCTGGGGGTAAAGTACTCACAAGGAACTCCTTGTGTGGATTTTCAGATAATTCCATTGGGAAATGTGGCTAAAATCATAAAAATCCCGAATATCGGGGGGTACCGTTAAATGGGCGCTATACGATATCGTGGACCGATATAGATAATTCTCTTCCAGTGGATAAAGTATTCATAAGGAACTCCTTGTGTGGATTTTCAGACAATTCCGATGAAAAATGTAACCAAAATCATCAAAATGACGAATATCGGGAGGTGCCGTTATATGGGGGATATACGATATCGTGGACGATATAGCTCATCTTCGAACTTGACCTGCCTGCAGACAAAAAAAAAAACAAAAAACTATCTTACTTCGTTTTGACTCTAGCGTGATTACAATAGACGGACGGACAGGGTTAAATCGTCTTAGAATTTTAAGCTGGTCAAGAACGTAAATATTGTGTTGGGTCTAAAATTATTATTGCGATGAGTTACAAACGGAATGACGAATTTAATATACCCTTCATACTATGTAAGGTGGAGATTTTAACAAGTAAAAAAGCTGTAAGTTCGGCCGGGCCGAACTTTCAATACCCCCCACCATTTGCTACAAAGTTGGCACTTTCCAAAAAAAAAAAAAAAAAAAAAAATCCGTTAAAAATTCTGTTAAAATCTTAAAAATACCGAATGCCTATACGACGATGTAGACCTGCATTGGCAACTCTTGTCATAAGTTATTACAATATTTAAATGCGAAACTTGAAGAAAAATCTGTTTATAATGTAGCTAAAATCATCAAAATACCGAAAATAGGGGGTACCGTTATATGGGGGCTATACGAAGACGTGGACCTGCACAGACAATTTTCTGGCATGGGCTGAAGTATCCATTACGAACTTCACATACGAAATTTGAAACAATCCCGGTAAATAATGCCGCTAAAATTATCAAAATACCGAATATCGGGGGGTACCGTTATATGGGGGCTATATGAAGACGTAGACTTGAACAGATAATTTTCTGTCTGAGGCTGTAGTATCCATTACGAACTTCAAATACCAAATTTGGAACGATTCCGTTAAATAATGTCTCTAAAATCATCAAAATACCGAATATCGGGGGGTACCGTTATATGGGGGCTATATGAAGACGTGAACCTGCACAGATAATTTTCTGTCTTAGGCTGTAGTATCCATTACGAACTTCAAATGCCAAATACCGAATATCGGGGGGTACCGTTATATGATAACTTGGACATACATGGCCCATTTACGAACTTATCCTGCCTACTAGCAAAATATACATGTGTGCAAAATTTTAGCCTTCTATCCTAATTTGTTCGAAATATGGCGTGATTACAACAGACAGACGGACAGACAGAAAGACGGACATGGCTAAATCGTCTTAGAATTTTACGCTGATCAAGAATATATATACTTTGTTGGGTCTGGCATGGGTATTTCGAGGAGTTACAAACGGAATGACGAACTTAATATACCCTTCATACTCTGTAAGGTGAAGGTTATAAAAAATTTTTATATTTTGTCTCAATATTGTTTGGAGCGTCCAAAGTTGTTATAAACAGCTTAAGCAATCGTCAAAATACTCTTTGGGAAACTGTTATAACTTTATTAAAATGGTTGAGTTAACGGACACATGCTTATCGACTGCACACTGTATTACCGACCAACACTAAAATCGAGGTCTACAACCAAACACATCTAAACAATGCCAACTACACCAAACACAATTTGTGTAACAACGGCCGCTGTATTACAGTCTGGTTAGTAAAGACAATGTACTTTGTTAGTGTTGCCAACTTGGGAAATTAAACTTAGTGCTGTAGGAAGGAAGCTAAAATGTAGTTAAAACAGAGGAAAATACAATCAGTTTTAAATACCACATCACCTACCATGCTCTATATAAAGTCATGTGACTAGTATGTAATAATTTTGCCATTTTCATATTTATTGTTCGGTAAAGAGTAGAAAAACAATTTACTTCAAATTTTTGGCAATAAACTTAAAATGCATCAAACTGGAGTCAGAAGGCGGATGTGACGAGAACAAACAAACATCTTAAATCTAGCGGTACAGTTATATGATTATGACCCATTTTTAAGTTCTGCAGACATAATATACATCGTTCGGAATATTTCGAGGTGATGACAAACTTAATATGCCCTCCATAGTATGGTGGAGGGTATAAAATACAGTTTTAAGAAATTTATAGACCTTTTATATCCTCCACCATAGTATGAAGGAAATATTAAGTTTGTCATTCCGTTTGTAACACCTCGATATATACATTTTAGGCCCCACAAAGTATTTATATTCCAGATAAATTTTGTATCGATTTAGCGATGTGCCTCTGTCTGTCCGTCTGTGGATATCACTCTAGCTTCCGAACGAAATGAAGTAGGTTGATAAAATTTTACTCAAATGTATATCATGTCTGCAGGATTTAATATGGGCCATTTGATGATTTTAGCGACATTTTTCACCGGACTTTTTTCAAATTTGGTATTTGAAGTTCGTAATGAGACAAGACAGAAAACTGTCTGTGCCGGCCCACATCTTCGTATAGCCCCCACATAACCTCCGGGTATTCAGTATTTTGATGATTTTAGCTACATTATTATCGATTTTTTTAGTTTCGCATTTGAATATTGTAATGGCTTATGACAAATGTTACCTATGCAGGTCCATGTCGTCGTATAGACCCTAATATAACAGCTACATTCGGTATTTTTAAGATTTTAACAGAATTTTTAACGGATTTTATAGTTCGGCCTGGCCGAACTTATAGCTTTTTTACTTCTTTTTTATACCCTACACCAGAAGGTGGTCAGGGTATTATGTCTTTGTGCATTTGTTTGTAACAGGTAAAAGGAAACGAGATAGGCCCATAGTTCCTCCGATCTGCATAGAATCACATTCTGAGTCGATTTATGCATGTCTGTCCGTCCGTCTGTATTTTTGTGAACAAAGTACAGTTCGCATTTATTACCCGATCCAGATGAAAATTTGCACAAATCATTTGTTAGCCTTTGCCGATTTGCCTTTTATTGTGCACCAAAAGTTTGATATCAGCCCGAATAGTATGGAATTTTGCACATACAACCAAATTAGGCCTGGAAATAAGCATGCCAAATTTGATCAAATCGGTTCAGATATAGCTATAGCTCCAATATATATTGTTCATCCGATTTGTTATTTTAGTTCTCCGCAGCCGTAATTTGCACTCTGTAACAACAATATTTGGGGAAATATATTGGGCACTTACGACCGAATTGGGTCTAGAAGCTAGTATGTCAAATTTGGTGAAGATCGGTTCAGATATAGCTATAGCTCCCATATATATTATTCATCCGATTTGTTATATATGTTACCCAGAGCCGTAATATGCACTCCGTAACAACGATATTCAGGGAAATATATGAAATACAGCTCAGGAATATCTTTGCCAAATTTTATCAAGATCGGTTCAGATTTGGATATAACTCCCATATATCAAATGGGCAATACAAGTCAGAATTTAAAAGATACAAAGGCTTCGGCATAGTCTTTTGAACTTTAAGTTATAGTTATAATCATAGCGTGTATGATTGAATTCTCCCATAAAAACTTTTAATTGTTATGTGGAGCTCTACTAAATTAGCAAAGTTGGCTATCTCCATCTCCATGACAGTAGACATTAACCCTAACGCTACCCCCAGCCAAAAGTTCGTGAGAATAGAACCATAATTACGACCTGTATACAACATCCTTGGTATGATCTGCTTCATATAAATTCCCAATATGAACATTTTTTTGTTACGGGTAGCTCTACTAAATATGAATAGTGGTGTAGAGTATCATATAGTCGGCTAAATGTTAACATTTTTTTGACCCTATGATAGAATTATATTTAATTTCATGAGAAAAAATATACGATTTATGAAAACTAATTTAGCAGGAAATGTTATCTCTGTCTGTGACAAAGATTAATATCTAATATTAAAATCCCGATGCAAGCAGTACAATATTTAGTACTTTTTAGTACATTTTTAGCACAAATTTTCAAAACTCCTTACATGTTGCCTTGCAACAATTCTAGCTCTAAAATTATAACATTTATGTCAAGAAACATTGTTTAAATAACTTTTTAGAACATCTTTTAGTATGAATTCCCAAAAAAACGGAACCACATTAATAGTGACGTCTTTGGGAAATACGGAGATTCTATTGTTTGAAGTATAAAATTTTAGACCGAAAAATTCGTGTTTTATTACTTATTTCCAAAAACCTCACCTTATCACCCATCTACCCACCAACAACTACCTGCATGCCCTTGGCTTTATTTTAGACGTTGAAGAGGTAATAAGTCTCTCATTTTTTACAACTTTATACAACGATGGAATGAAATTTGTTGAAAAGGACATACTTTTTCCAAAGCTTTCGTTAGCTTTATTTATACGGAAAATTTCATGGACTCTCTTTAAAAACCGAATTGCTAAAATATTCTTCTGTTTTCCATATACCAGCCATACTAAACTTTTTGTGCTTTTCCCATAAAATCATATTCAGCTAAAGCTTCGAATATGGATCCCATTCAAAAATAAAATAACAACAACAACAAACATTCAATCATTCGTTTTACATTTATTTCGAAAAATGAGTCTTCAATTGTTGTGACGTTCTTAACACAGCTCTGTTAGATACATTTTTAACATTTTTCGGTTTCGACTTAAATTAGGAAATTTATTTTAAAAGAAAAGATTTTAATTTTTGTCCACATATGTTGACATCATAAATACTTATTTTACTAATAGACATAGACATACTTAGCAGATAGGAAATAAATTAAAGAAAAATACCATAAATAATTGGACATTTCTTAACAATAAGAAAGGTGTTTTTTTTTTTTGTTTGTAATAAATATTTGAAATGAGTTTAATAAATATTTAAATAAATAATTAATTAAATAAATAAATAAATAAATACAGTTGTAAAATATTAAACCAGTCCTAGTATGCGAAAGCTTAGTTGGTAAAAAGGGGGAGGAGACATAGGGGAAAGCTATGGAGAAGAGAGGAGTTATTCGTTAAATGTTATGTGGGTGTGTGTGACTTAAACTTCATTGCACTCCAAATACAATTGTGAACAGTCGAAGCCGGAACGCCCTCTGCGACCAGCATCGTAGATTTGCTCAAAACTGCCATCGCTGGTGCGGTCCAACAAGTAGCTGGTGGCATAGCTAAGGGAAGAGGAACGACATTTTTTTAAATTTTTCCAAAACAATTATTTTTTTGTTCAAATTTGAAAAAAAATATTGTTTCTACTTACGATCCCAATTGACAGAAAATACTGCTGCCGCCAATTTCCCGGGTACACTCGGTATTGGCCTCACACATGTAGCGCTGCAAACACTTGTTGTCGGCATTGCGATAGGTGCGCACATAACCCTTCAGCATGGAGATACTGGCCACAGCGGCATCACTAACGGAATCACGTTTACCCATTGACCTGGCCGACAACGAACGGTGTGAGAACGAAGTCTTCAAGGCATCCAAGAGATTCATAACAATTTGTATAAACTATTCAAATTGAAGATGTAAAGAATGGCAGAGAGAAAAGAAAAGAGAAAAAGAAGAAGAAAAAAACGACAACATTATTTCAAGTACATGCCATAAGTCGCACTTCACTACTCTTCCACTACTTCCACTATTTTTGTTTTTTTTTTTTTTTTTCAAGACGAAGTCAGTAGACGAAACTAATTAACATATTGACAATGGTGAGAGGGGGGAAGTAAGGAAGAAAGAAGAAGAGAAAGAAAATAAATGCGTAAGATAATCAAATTTAAATTTCTAAAGTGTGTGTTGGTTGGTAGTTGTTGTTGTTGGAATATGTGTAAGTGTGTGTGTATGTCTGTGGTGCGTTAGAAGGGCATAAAGTAATAGAACAAAAAAATAAAAAAAAAAATAGAAAGCAAGTGCTGGTGTAAATAGAAATGAAATTGTACAGTGTATTATTTAAAAACTACTTATAAAGTGTATGTGTGTGTGTTTTGTTGTCATTGAGTGTATAATTTTGTAATATATATGTGGCTAGACTGAAAGAAATTATTTTCTCGGCGAATTTTCTGCGATTTTTATACTCTACAACACTATGTATCATAAATTTGATTGGGCCACAAATTTCAATAGCATTCCTATTGGCACCAAAGAATTTCAATTATTTTGAAATTTTTTTTCATATTTTCCAAAGCGATAGAAACATAAATTTCAAAAAAAAAAAAAATATTGGAGGACTTTCACGACTATAATTGTAGATTTTTCAAATAATATTTTAGAAGTAATATCAGGTTCAAACATCGACGATTATGAATATCAAAAATGGTAGATTTAAATAATAATCGTTGAAGCACTATCAGGACCTAAAGTGTGAATTACTAGCTAATATTTTTTGAAGTGCTACAACGGTCTAAATCATGGAGTTCTAAGGATTTTTTGAAGACTATTACGACCTATATCGTGCATACATAAGATTTTTTTAAGGATTACGGCACTGTCAAAGCTTAATATGTAGATTTTTAAATTTTATTTTTGAAGAAGAACTATTAGGGGCTAAATCCTGAATATCTAAAGGACATTTTTTAACAATATTATCTAGGCCCAAAATCTGGATTTCTAAAGAATTAATTTTGATTAATAGGACCTGAATCTTGAAGTATAAAAGCATTTTTTTTTCAGGATTATCAGAGCCTAAATCGTTGATTTCCAAAGTACTATCGGGACATAAATCGTAGCTTTGTAAAGAATATGTTTTAAATAACTATCAAGATTTAAATCGTGGATTTCTATAGGATAATTTCCAAAGGATCATGGCCCATACTGAAGATTTCTAAAGAGGAATCTTTAAGGGACTATCAGGACTTTTTTTCAAAGAATATTTTTAACGACAATCAGCACACTTCAAGCTAAATTTTTGAAAGCATTATAAGCGGCCTAAATCGTGGATTTCTAAAGAATAATTTTCAAAGGACTATTCGGACTTATATCAAGTCTTTCTAAAAAATATTTTATGAAGGACTATAAGCAATTTGAGCAACATTTTTTATCGTGGATTTCTTAATAATAAATTTCAAAGGATTATTCGGACCTATATCAAGTCTTTCTAAAAAAAATTTTGAAGGTCTATGAACAATTTGAGTAACAATTTTTTATCGTGGATTTCTTAAGAATATCTTCTAAAGGATTATCACGGAACAAATCTCTTGAAATTCAACAGAATATTTTTCGAAGGGTCATTGGACCTAAACCGTGGTTTTTTACAGAATATTTTTGAGGAGACATTAGGATCAAAACCATGGCTTTCTTAATAATATTTTTCTAAAGGACTATCATGGCCTAAATTGTGGATTTTTAAAGAATAATTTATGGATTTAAAAAAACAATCAGGGATTTTTAAAAAATCGTTGATTTTTAATGAATAATATATGGATTTAAAAAAATCAGGGCCCAACTTACAATAATTTTTTAAAGCATTATCAGGGCCTAAATCCTAGATTAATATATAATAATTTCTATAGAAATATCAAGACCTTAATATTGGAATTCCTAAAATTAAATTCCAAAGGACTACGAGGACCCCAACCGTGACTTTCTAAAAAATATTTGTAAGGACAATCAGGGCCTAAATCTTGGTTTTCAAAAACTATTTTTAAAAAATTATTAGAACGTAACTCGTTATTTTCGAACATAAAAAACAGCTAAGGCGTGTCTAACCTTTTTTACCCTTCACAATTTGGAATGTTAAAAATATCCCTTAAAAATGTCAGTAAAATTCTACAAATTCCGAATATCGATGTTATGATTAGATGGGGCTATAAGAAAAGGTAAACATGTATAGCCAGTTTTCTTCCATCGAGGGCGATACCGATAACGAACTTAAAATTTAAAGTTGCAGAAAATTCTCTTGAAAAAATTAGCTAACCATCATGAAAATACCGAATATAGAGGGAAACCGAAATCATAGACCTGAAAAAGCCATTTTTTCGTCAGTTGAGTTGGATATCCACAACGAACTGCAAATACGAAATATGATGCAGATCCGGCACAAAATGTGACGCAAATCATCAAAATATGGAATATTGGAATTACAGTTATATGGGAAAAACTGGTATTACACCTACTGGCGGTACAGTTATATGGTAGCTATATGCAAAAATAGACCTATGCGACACATTTAAGAGAGCCTAACTCGCTCCTAAAGTCCAATACAAACAGTTCTATGGCTCTTAAATGCATCTCAACAAAATTTTATCAACTTACTTCGTTTCATTCGGAAGCTAAGGGGCTTTTCACAGACAAACAGACACGCAGAAGGACGGACATGGCTAAATAGGCATATAATTTTAGAATTTGAAGTCTAAAATGCCTATTTTGAGGAGTTACAAACGAAATTACTAACTTAATATACCATTCATATATGGATGGCATAAAAATGTGATGGACTATCGGGGCCAAAATTGGATATTGTCAGCAAAATTGCTTAAAAAATCCAAAAGAGGTAATACTTTTCCCCGATCATCTCAAATTTTGAACATACCGATATTTCTATAAAATTTTGAAGAGCTTCCCTAATGGGATGCATGTTTTTACTACTTCAGATACACCCAGATTTCACGAATTTATCTTAATATGATAGTCTAATTGTCAGATGACAAGATTTTTCAAAAGATGCATATCAAGGACTTCCCGCCAAAAAAAAAAAAAAAAAAAATTAAAATAAAAATATTTTTTTTTATTTTGGCGAATAATCGTGAATGTTCTTCAACTCATTTTTAAACAGATCTTTAATTTTTATACCCTACACCTCAAGGTGGTCAGGGTATTATATCTTTGTGAATTTGTTTGTAACAGGAAAAAGAAAACGAGATAGACTCATACTCCCTTTTGATGATCTGCATAGAATCACATTCTGAGTCGATTTATGCATGTGCGTCCGTCCGTCTGTCCATGTATTTTTGTAAACAAAGTACAGTTCGCATTTATTGCCCGATCCAGCTGAAATTTTGCACAAATCATTTGTCTGACCAAAGGACGAACCCCATTCAAATTGGAGATAATCAGCAAAAATTTATATATAGCTTCTACATATATCTTCGTCCGATTGCATTTTATTGTGCACCAAACATGTAATGTCAGCCCGGATAGTATGGAATTTTGCACATACAACCAACTTAGGCCTGCAAATAAGTATGCCAAATTTGATCGAAATCGGTTCAGATATAACTATAGCTTCCACATATATTGTTTATCCGATTTGTTATTTTTGTCCTCCGCTGCCGTAATATGCACTCTGTAACAACAATATTTGGGGAAATATATCAAATGCAGCTCAGAAATACCTTTGCTAAATTTTATCGAGATCGGTTCATATTTGGATATATCACCCATATATAACTTCGTCCGGTTTACTTTTTATTGTGCACCAAAACGTCTAATATTTGTCCAAATGGGATGGAATTTGGCACTAACGACCGAATTGAGTCTAGAAGCTAGTGTGCAAATTTGGTGAAGATCGGTTCAGATATAGCTATAGCTTCCATATATATTATTTATCCGATTTGTTATATTTGTTACCCACAACCGTAATATGCACTCCGTAACAACGATATTCAGGGAAATATATCAAATACAGCTCAGAAATATCTTTGCCAAATTTAATCGAGATCGGTTCAGATTTGGATATAGCTCCCATATATATCTTTATCCGATTTCAAATTAATTGTGCACCAACTGGGCAATACAATTCCGAATTTAAAAGATACAAATGCTTCGGCATATTTAGTCCTTTGAACTTTAAGTTATAATTATAATCATAGCGTGTATGATTGAATTCTCTCATAAAAACTTTTAATTGTTATGTGGAGCTCTACTAAATTAGCAAAGTGGTGTAGGGTATCATAAAGTCGGCTCCGCCCGACTTTAAGACTTTCTTTACTTGTTTTAAATTTTATTGCAATTTCTAAAGAATATATTTTTGGTACATGCCACAGCTTTCAAAAAAAAAAAAAATAAATAAATAAATAAATAAATAAAATAAAACTAATTCCAATACCCGTAATTTAATTTCAAGTGATCGCCATTGATTCGATACCAGTAAGTTCTAGTTAGTTTTCCCAATAACTCGAACAAATGCTCCCAACATTTGTAAATGCTTTTAATTTTATCCTACTCCTCACGATGATTCAGAATTCGATTTTAGTGGCTAAACTCCACATTTAATAAGGCTTATATATGCCTCATTAAGTATCGATATTAAGAACCTTGAGGAAATCCTTGTTATTCTAGACATGTCCGACTGTCGCTCTGTCTGTCAGGCTTGTTGGTGTGCACTATCTTGGATCAGGTGCGAAAATTAAAAACATTGAACAACTTCTTCTGATACCTCCTCTGATTGTTTTCTAATTACGACATCCAAATATTTCTGCCAAAATTCGATGATGTGTACAAATAGTGACCCACTTTTTCCGCCACAACAAGAGGTGAATATTTTAAAAAATCCAAGACTTAATATTTTTCCCGGATTTCGCGGATTTATCGTAGTATGAGAGTCTAATTTTTGCTAGGTGCCATTTTCAAAGGATGCCTTTTCAGGGACTTCCCGGTAAAAAAAAATTAATTAAACTTTTGGCGAATAATCTTTTTCAACTCAATTTTAAGGAGGTTTTTTAAATTTTTTTACCAGTATTGTTTACAATGTCTTTCCGAACAAAAGTGCATTTTTTCAATGATATTTAATATAATCCATGAATTAAAAAAAATATATATATTTTTATGATTTCTCTGTCTAAGTCCTGATTTTTTTTAAGAGCTTAATTAAAAAAAAAATGATTCTTTAAAAATACTTATTCAATGACTTCTTCAAAAAAAAGTAAGAAAAATAGATTTCATTTAAACCAAATGTGTGGCGTAACATCTTCAAATTTTCATGTGAGATAGAGGATATACTCATTTCTTGGTCAAAATGCCTAATGAAATGCTAAAAAAAATAAAATATGTAATTTTCAATAAATCAAAATATTAACAATTGCCATTTTTTTCTAAACCATAATTTGTTTCAGTGTAGTCGACATATTAAAAAATCAAATTGAATAAATTATAAATAAAATACGAGAATAATTTAAATACATTCATTTGTCTCTGTATATATGTATATTGTATAGAATATTTATAATTTTAATAAATCGTTACCTCTCCAGCTTGTTTGGCCATTGAGTTGACTTGTTCTGGATCTTTTGTACCAAGTACCGTTGATAACACTGCCGCCAAGATGCCCTGCTTTTATTTATTGTTTGTTTTGTTTTAAAGATTTTGTTTTGTTTATTTTGTTTGCAAGCATTTTGCAGCCACCATGTTTATGTATTGTTTTTTTTTTTATAGAATAAATCCAACCATAACCACATTAACCAGTAGTATTGTTTTTTGTTTTGTTTAAATTGTATTTGCAGTATTACATGAATTTGTATGTTTTTTTTAAAGAAAGCGAAAAAATACAAATATATATTATTGTCAATACAGCAACAATATCAACAACATGAAAATAAAAATGAAAAAAAAAGAGAGAAATAAATAGAATTTTTTTCTTAATATCTTTTTGTTTGTTTGTTCGTTTTTTTTTGTTTCTTTTTTAGATTTGGTAAATTAATAATGTTATGTGTTTTATTAAATTGTATATACTATGTTTGTTTGTGTATATATGTGTATATGTGTGGGTGAGTGTGTGTGTATGTTTCGATGTATGAGAGACTATCAAACATATGTGAACTTTCAAATGGTTTTTCATGGGGTTTTGGATGATGTTATATGTTTTGTTTTTTTCTATTGTTGTTCGGTTGGCTGCCATAAAAACAGTATGTCTAGCGCAAAATAATTGGGTAATTGGAAATATATATTTTTTTACGGCCTTGAATATAGGATGGGGGGATACACAATGCTTGTTATCCCGATTGATATATTTTTTTCTTTGTAATAACCACCTCGCATACCATTCTCATGTTTAAAATCTCCATAGGCGGGAGAGGTTATATTTCCATGATAGATACTTATTCTGGATATTTTCTCGGAATGCCGTCTACATGGGATGGTTTAGATAACTTAATTTTGGGAATATTATATCACGTGCCGTACTAGATTCCTTGGAACTCATTTAACTGATTTCAAGACTAAAATGGGGAAAGTTTTCTCATCTTCTTTGGAATCGAATTTTGGTTTATCAAATTTAAGATAATTTAACTCTTGGGATTTCTACAGAATACCAGGATTTAACGAAATATCCTTCAACAGAATGCTAACACATGGGGCAACATAAAACATAATTACAGGAAAAATCCAATAGATTATCAAAATAGAGCTACAAATAGAAGACACGTTTATCGGCGTTTTCGAACTCTTAGCAAAGACTTAAACGATGGGATATTTCATACTCAAAAGTTTGTCAATAGATGGAACTCTGTTGTGTAAATATAATAACATGGTCTGTAGGATGAGTAGGGCTAAAATGGGGTTCGTAATGGTGCGAAGTTATAGATAAGACAGCGTTTTTGGATTTATGCTGAAGCCATGTGTATTTTATGAAAGACATAATTCATGAGAGGACTTGTCCCCTCTGTTTAGGCTATTACACTGAAAAATAGTCTAAACAGAGGGGGCAAGTTCTCCCCTGAATTAGGTCTTGCATAAACCGCTCATGGCTTCAGCATAACTCAAAAAACTCCTCCCTATATATAACTTCGCACCATTATGAACCCCCAAATGGAAGACATGTGTATCCAAAAAAAGGAAGACACGTGTATCGGCATTTTGAATGGAGAGAACTTGTCCCCTCTGTTTAGGCTATTTTTCAGTGGAATAACCTAAACAGAGGGGACAAGTCCTCTCCTGAATTATATCTTTCATAAAATACACATGACTTTAGGATACATCCAAAAACGCTGCCTTATCTATAACTTCTCAACATTAGGAACCCCATTTTAGCCCTACTCATCCTACAGAACATGTTATTATATCGAAACAACAGTACCCCATCTATTGATAAAATTTTGAAATATCCCATCTTTGTATTCGTTTATGTCTTTGCTAAGAATACGATCAAAGACACACAATATAATAAGATGGGGACATAACATTGTTACTTTAATCCAATAGATGGGGTTGATAGTAACATATCATTATGTTATTATGTAACAGGGCTGATATTGATTTTTATCGATAAAATGTACAAGAAAAGGCTGTGGAATAGTTTTTTTTTTAACCATGTCTGCCATATATTTTATTTTTTGAGCGGTATTCTGCCATCTTTTGCGATTATGAAATAATATATTTCTTTAATATTTCAATTGCATTTCCGGCATATCGTCGGCCATCTATTGCCTGATCGAGACATTAAACTGCAATAGTTTTTGTTCTTTGCAATGCTAGACCCCTTTCACTCTTATAATTAATTTTGCTAAGTCTTTTCCCAATAGATGTCGCCCCTGATTCCTTGCAATTTGTTAATTGGTTTGTGTTGTGATATCACTGAAGAGAAGTTATAATTGATTTTTTAATTTGTAGGGAATTTTTAAATCCCTGAACTCCTACAATATTTTTAATTTGTAGGGAATTTTTAAATCCCTGAACTCCTACAATAGATGGCGTGCACACTTATATAATACAAAATCTGAATGTCTAAATTTTAGTGGGGATGATCATTTATAGTGGGACGGGTTCCCAGTATAAATTATTTAATAAATTCCTTGTGATACCCCAGTGGAAACGTCCAAAATGTGATGCCATGCCTATTTCAGTTCACTTGGCTTACAACAGTTTTATGCTGCAATAGGTGGCGCTCGTTGCCGAATATTAAATTTTACAAAATTGAATTGAAATAGATGGCGCTTTTTGGTGATCTACAATTTGGCATAATTGGTGGTGAGATTCGGTATAACTGAAGGAAAGTTTAGATTTACCCAGAAAACATGAATTAACGAAATATATTCCAACGGAATGCAAACACAGTGTGCAGGGCAAAGCATAATTAAAGGAAAAATACAGTAGATTATGAAAATAGAGCTCAAAAGAGAAGACACGAATTTTGAAAGTTCGAATTGCAAAGTAATTTAAATGAGTTCCCCTCTTTTTCAATAATTTTTTGACATTTTTATTTTAAAATCCTTGTACAGATTGAGATGAAAAAAAAATACTGCAACCAACTTCAGACTGCTGTAATTACTAAGCCTATCGTCCGACAGCTGTTAAAATTATAGCAGTGACAGCTCATTATATTGTTTATAAGCGTACAAAAGCATTTTGGTGAGAATTTACCAGAAAAAAAGCTTATCGTGATGGAATTTAAGCGGGATAGTATGATTTCTTTATATTCGGCTGGAAAATCACAAGTGGCTATTGTTAGAACCCTCCAGCATTTAAATGTGAATAAATCGTTTGTGTTTCGTACCATTGCTCGTTAACGTGATACTGGTAGGAAGTGGAAAAGTAAAGAAGCGACTTGATCAGAACCCGCGTCGCAGTCTTTGAAAAATGGCTCATGAGCTGAAAATATCGCAATATTCCATTCGGCAAATTTTAAAAAACGAGCTACCATAGCAGAGAATTGTCGTTCTCCGCTCAAAATAATCGACCGAGGCATAAGAATAAATACCGAATATTATCGCGAAAATATTCTGGAGGGTGTATTAAAGCCTTGGCCACGCAAACATTTTGGCCGCAGACCTTGGACATTCCAACAGAACTCAGAACCATCGCACTCAGCATGCGCCATCCAAGAATGGTTTCAAAATGAGGTTCCTCGCTTCATTTCCAGCGAACAGTGGCCACCGAAATCTCCGGATACCAATCCGTTGGACTATTGTGTCTGGAGTATTTTGGAAAGCAAGATTGGCACTAACAAATACCAAAGTGTCGATCATCTCAAGCAAGCGCTTCGCCGGGAACGGGCCAAAACACCACAGAGCAGCATTCGGGCTGCGTGTCCATAATTCGTGCCAAAGGTGACCAATTCGAACAAATCTAAACTTATTCTTAAATTTGATGCTATTTCCGACATTTTTTGCTTTCATTCAATAAAATTTAAAGAAAAATGTAAAAATTATGGCGTTTGACTTTGTTGCAGTTTTATTATCTCATGTGTTTAAAATGGGTCACTTTGGCCCACTTTTTGGTATATATACCCCTACTTTAAGCCATATTTTCCATGAAATTTTGCCAAGGGTTTTTAGTTGGAATTCCTAAGAAACAAGAAACTAGATTTTTTTTAACAAAATCGATTGAAAAATATTGTCAGTACCCTAGAAATAATTAAAAATAACTGAGATCAGGAGTATCCTGTTTATAGGAGCTACTCCGAAAATGGACCTGGATTTCAATATAACGTATAATAAAGTATTCTACGCCCCTAGAAAACTCGTTAAAGTCTAAACGATTGAAAAAAATAGCCAAAACCTTCGAAATAACCAAATCAGGGCAGAAACAAAACGTAGACCTTTAATAACGTTTTTTACTATAGACTTTTTAAATAAAAAGGACTCAGAATAAATAAAAATGAGCCAATTAAATCGAAAATATGACTAAAAATCGGGGAATACCCTTATATAAGGACTGTGTCTTATATTGGACCGAAATGAATCATTTTTGAATAAGGGACCAAAAATACGCCTTTGGTGACTCCCTTGTGGATTAAAATTTTCAACCAAAATATTCTTCGTATTGGTATCAGCAATATTGCTGAAGACACTATATACCTTAAAGATTTCAAGAAATCCCTGTCCGACAATTTCGAAAAATTTGGAAGAGGGGAGAACTTTCCTCCTCCATTTAGGTAACTTTACGATATAAACTTTCAAAATACCGACACAGATGTGTTCTCTCTTTAGCTATAATTTCATAATTACTGAGTCTTTCCTTCAAATACCTTTATTCCTCACTCTGATATCCCTTAAAAAATGTCCATCCAATTTTCTCCATTCGTTGTAAAACGCATTTGAAAGCACATAGGGAAGTTAGTGTAACCATGGAAAATTGTATGTCTGTATATATGTACGTATTTCAGTTATATACAATAACAGTAAAAGGAAAGTGCAGTCTACTTAAAGAACACAAATAAAAAAATAGAAGCAAGTTTTCTCTTTTGGAATAGAACAACAAAAGATACCAAAACAACTAAACGAATATTACCTGCATTGGTGAACCGCCATTGTCAACTTTGTCAATGCCATCGCTGGGAGCACCACCGCCCAACAAAGTGTTGATGATTTTCAAACCTGTGGAAAAACAAATAAACAAAAAAAAAAAAAACGCAAATTTAATTAAAATCCCACCCAAAGCATCTGCCACAAAAAATACCAACCCATTGAGATGACATTAGCCCAGGGTGAAGCACCAAAACCACCATCAACATCATCCGATTTGGTGGGAGCATTGGCACCGCCATTGAAGAACATTGTCAAAACCGTGGACAACATATTGGACCATGAGAAACCGTTGGGTGCTTCCTGGATTTGATTGCCTTCGATTTCATCTTCAACATTGTCCAAAGCCACCTTCTTGGAGGCATTTGGTTTAACAGCATATTTGCGGGCACTTTCCACAGCTGGATTGTAGACAGGCGATTGGTATTGTTGCTGTTGCTGTGTTCGGCTGGTGATCAAACGTCTTTGGTATACCTCATTTTGTGGATAGGCATAGGTCAATAGTAGGCAATTTGTGGCTACTATTGCCAATAATATGAAGGCATTTATTCTGCTGTGTTGGGCCATGGCTGGAAGTAAAGAGAGAGAGAGAGAGAGAGAGAGAGAAAATAAAACGTTTGTTACTTAAGTCTTTCGTTTTGTAGAAAAAAAATATTTTTTTATGAACTATTTATTAAAATCTGATAGAGTAATCAAAGCTCTGTTGTTGTCTTTCTTCCTCAATTTTCGAAATTTTTTAGAACCAACAAATATTCTAGAATATTTTATAGATCTTTATATTTATTTTTGTCTTGGCTTGAAGAAAACTCAGAGGGAGAGAAGAAAAACAAAAACGTTTGTTTCTTGAGTCTTTCGTTTTGCAAAGAAAATTATTTAATTTTTTCTAGAATATTTTATGGAAAAGTAATAAACTAATCAATGCTTTATTGTTGCCTTTCTTTTTGTTCATCCACTTTTGAAATGCCTTGTGTTCGGTTGTGGCACACAACAAGTTCATTATCATGACTTTATTTCCCATTTCTTTAACATGCCACAAATAAATGGCATTCGTTCTTTACGTCGATTACAAATTCCAAATAATAAACATATATTTTAGTCGCATACAGGGTGTGTCGAATTTAAATACACATTTTGTTACCTTACGAACTACTATTCACTGAATACATTCAGGTGGTATTATATACATAGATGAAATTGAGTGGGATCGTCTAGAAACAGGTCGCCTAGAAACAGAAGACTTCGGGAAGGCATAAGACACATCCAGAAGTTTCTAGACCATCTTCCTGTTATATAAAACACCTAATGGCGCCCCACTTTTGGAAAACCCCCTATAAAGTATTCCTGGTTCAGAAAACCACCAGAAATTTTTCTGGGTATAGAAGATCTCCGGAACATCTTTAAGTACTTTTAAGAAGATCCCCTTGACGTAGAAGGTCAAAAATACCTTATAAATACCAAAAAACCCCCCGGAAATACTTCTAATATAAAGTACCTCTAGAAAGTCTTATAGATACAAAAGGCTTGCAGAAGTTCTTTCAGGAATGGAAGACCTTCAGATGTTAAATCGGCACAGAAGGCAAGGAAAATCTATAATAAGTCGTCTAGACACAAAAGTCATCGAGAAGGCATAAGACACGTGCAGAAGGTTCTAGATTTACTTTTCGATATAAACTATGCCTAGACGGCCTTCCAGGTTTGGAAGACCCCTATGAAGCATTCTTGCTCTATAATTTCCAAAATTGTCCAAAATATTATATAGTCCGAGAAAGAGAGATAGAGAGAGAGAGCGTTGAAGGACGTCCGACAACCTTCAGAAGTCATAGAATACACCTAGAAGACAGAAGAAGACCTACTTGAGATTTATCAGGTACAGAATGCCTTTTGAAGTTCTTCTAGGTATAGAAGATCTCCAAAAGACTATATAACCACAGAGGGCCTTCATATGGGTTTTTAGGCGCCTGAGGACTCTAGATGGACGTCTAGGTTCAGAAGACCCTCAGAAGATCTTCTAAATACTGAAGGCCTTTTGAAGGTCTTTCTGGTACCAAAAGCCTGCATCAGATTTGAAAGGGATATTTTAGATTTTTAAGATTCGGAAGATCTTTTTGGTACAGAATGCCTTTCGACGATCTTCCATGCATAAAAGATTTCCGGAGGACTGTAAAGGCACATAGGACTTCCATAAGGTCCTTCAGGTTCCTAAAGTCTCTAGAAAGGCGCTAGCTTCAGCTAAAAGGGCATGAAATACACCAGAAGACCTTTCCATGGTTTCCAGGGTATGAATGGCATCCCGAAGATTATATAGGCACAGAGAAGATTTTCCTTCCTTCTTTTAGTAAAAAAATGTCTTTCGATGGTCTACTAGTTACAGAAGACCTCCAGAGGGCGTAACACACACAGTAGGTATTTGGATACATAAGACCCTCGAAGATATTCTAGGTACTGAAGGACTTCTTTAAAATTATATAGACACTGAAAGCCTCCAGAAGGTCTTTTAAGCACAGAGGTCTAGAGACTAGGTTCAGAAGACCATCGGAAAACCTTTTTGGTTCAGACTGCCTTATAAGTATATTGTAGGTGAGGAAGACTTCCACAAGTTTCTCCAGGTTAAGAGGACCTAAAAATGTCTTTAAGGTGAAGAAGACCTCCAGTACGCCTCCTATTAGTAGAAGACTTTCAGAAAGAAGTCTTTCTTCTGAAGGTTTTGTTGGGCTATGAGACTTCCAGAAGATTATGTAGATACTAAGGGCCCCAGAAGATCTTTTAAGCATTGTCTATGTACAAAATACCTTCAGACAACCTTTTTGGCTAAGACGATATACAGAGTATCTTATAGGTGCAACCTCCAAAGTGTTTTTCAGGTGGGGAATACTTCCAAAATGTCTTCAGGATGTAGAAGACCTCCTGTGCGGCTCCTTTAAATTGTTGACCTTCCGAAGTTATTCTATGTTTCGAAAAATTTTACAAGTAGGATTTGGATATTAACTATCCTAAAAGGTCTTTTAGGTGTAAAAGTTCTCCTGAAAGAGTTCTAGGTTTAAAATAGATCAAAAATTATTTTTTGAAGAAAAGCCTGGAAGTAGCCTTCTTTATTAAAAAGGTTTCCAAAAAATGCTATGTATAGAAGATCTCCATGTAGTTAATTATATTCCGCAGTCCACCAAGTTATCTTCTTTGCTTAGAAAACCTCTAAAAGGCCTTATGTGAAGATAAGACCTACAAATAGAATTCTATGTTTGTAAGACTTGCAAATAAACTTCTATGCATCTCAGACTTCTAAATAGTCCTCCATAAAAGAGCTCCAAAAATATTCTAAGTTTAGAGGAACTCTCAACGGTTCTGCATAAAGAGAGGACCTCCAAATTCAATTTTTGGAGGACCTCCGAATGCATATGTTTATGAGACCCGTATTAGGAAGAATTTCAGATGATCCTCCAAAATATTATCAATAAAGAGAGGGCCTCAACACGATATTCCTTGTTTTGAAATCCAACAAGAAGTTTTCTATGTTTAGAAGACCTCTAAATAATCTCTTATGTTTAAAGAATGTCCATATGACCTCTTATGTTCAGAATACCGCCAAGTGTTTTCTTTGAAGAGAATACTCCAAAAAAAGTTTTTCTTTTTTTGTTTTGAAGACCTTCAAAATTATTTTTTTTTATCATTAGGAGGTCCCACAATGGCTTGGAACTGCATTTAAATAATTTTCAACACTCTTTTTTGCCACACCCTGTCAACAACAACTCGTTTATATAATACCGTTGAATTTAACAATTTTGTAGCATTTTGTCTATGGGTTTTATTCCCCCCTTTTGTCTTTCTGTATAATATTGCTGGTGTTGTTGTTCTTTTCGGTCGCTCAATGCAAGTCGCAAATTTGTGGAACACTTATGAGTGTTACCTCGACTGGCATGTATTCGTTTATACGCTCTATTATGGTCATATATAAAACAAAAAACAAAAACAAAGCAAAAGAACAGCAACAACCACAGCCAAGTATACGAAATGGTTAACTGTTTTTAGCGGAAATTGCACAGAGCGCACACACCAAAGAAGAAAATTATTTGTTTTTATTTTTTCCAACCACATTCTAAATTGAGGTAAAGTTTGCCTCAAGCAGAAGCTAGCCAACTGGCTAGGTAACAACAATCTAGCAAATAGAATCATCAATGTGCTAGACTTACAATAACAACATATTTTCTACACTTGCTACCAAGCTGGTGTTACCTGTTGGCTGTGTTGTCTTTGAAACCTGTCAAACATGTTCGAATGTTGGCTGGCTGGTTGGTTGGTTGCAACGATTATTCTTCTTTAGCACCAACACAAAATGTGTGACACAATTTACATTTCATGACTTAGCCACCACTGCTTGTCAAAGACTTGTCTAAAACGCAAGACATTTTAATTATGGAGGCTATGTAAATTTAGAAAGCCGTTCCGAAAAAAGAAGACTGTCTTCATTCTTGTGGTGTGTGTGTGTGTGGAAGAGAAATATTTTGTGGGAAATGGCTATTTAATTGCAAGCACCTGCTAAAGTGATTTCGGTTAGATTTCTAAGGCCATAACAAAGAAAAATCTATGCCATTAAGAAAGTCGTTAATAAAATCATTGATATAATTTATGAGAGACAATATTGGAAATATAAAAAATTTAAACAGTTAAAACAACAAATGCTTGCATAAAATTGGGAATTAAATTAACTTCCCGGAGAATTAAAATATAAGGACTACAATGCAAGGTTTTCTAGATACATTAATGAAATCCAGTAAATGTATTGGGCATAAAAGACCACCAAGGGAGTTTCAGGGCACAGAGGTCTTCCATGAGGTTTTCTGGGTACAGAAGACTTCCAAAAGATTTTCTACATTCAGGAAATCCCCAAAAGGTCGTCAATATAGAGAAGGACTTCAACAGAAGACTTTCTAGAAATTGAGTTTCAAGGTACGAATGACCTACCTCTCATAAGGTTTTGTAAGAATAGAAGACCACCAGAAAGTCTTCTTCAACAGAAAGCTTTCTAGATATTGCAGACCTCTAGAGGGTGTCATGGGTATAGAAGACTCACAGAAGGTTCAGTGTTTATGAAATACCTCTAAAATATCTTCTATTAACAGAAGACACAAAAAGCTCTACTACGTTCAGAAGATATCCAACAGACTTCCAAAATATGGTATAGGTGTATAATACCCCACGAAGGTCTTCTAAGTATAAAAGGCTTGCAAAAATCGTCCTTATAGGTCTTCTAGATATTGCAGGCATCTAGAGGATGTATGGGTGTAGAAGACGCACAGAAGATTCTGTATTTATGAAAGACCTCTAAAAACTTTCAAAATACGACCAAAAAACCTATAAAAATCGTCCAGGTATAGGATACCCAACAAAGGTCTTCTAGGTATAAAAGACCACCAAAATTTCTGTCTTCTTGGTATAGAAGGTATTTTAAGAATAGAAGGTCTTCTTAGAATAGAAAGTCTTCTAAGTATAGAAAATCTCCAGAAAGCCTTTCAAAAAAAGTGTTCACTACCAATTAATTCATTTTCCAATCATTTTTTGCCGAACTTAACAACTC